TGTGGATGTGACCAATAAAATTAGATTTGAATTATTTTTGATGAACATGAGAAGATAACCTACTTTTTGAAGTGATTTGTTTGACAATCAGATGAAAATATCATGACTGGTTGTGTTCATGGCACATTAAAAGGTAATACATTTTTACAGTTAAATTGCATGGCTTTACTATAAAACCCATTAACAACTGGCCTCTGCCTGGGGCCGCCAAACCACTAAGTCAGCCCCTGCATGAGGGTGAAGCAAGCATGGCTATCTGAATTTACACTTTAAAAGGATCTCTGCTGTGAGATGCAAAAATACCATCTGAGAAGCACGCGCGTGCGTTTTCCGATTAGCAGACAAGGCAGCATCAGCACGCATTAAGGGATGTAGCTCAGTTGGGGATGTAGCTCAGTTGGTAGAGCATGGCGTTTGCAACGCCAGGGTTGTGGGTTCAATTCCCACGGGGGGCCAGTATTAAATAAAAAATATATATACAAAAAATAATGTATGCACTCACTAACTGTAAGGCTCTCTGGATAAGAGCGTCTGCTAAATGACTAAAATGTAAATGTAATAATCTGCAGCTGGATGCTTCTCCTTCAGTTGGCCATACAAATGTTCTGCATTTGGAATCTAGGGAAAAGGTTGTCAAGCTGGGGGAATGGCCATTTTGGAATTGAATAAGCAGCTGTAGGTGTGGTTCTGGTGATGATCAGTCACAGACGGCTGGAAGGCGTCAAATTCCCGTAGCCTCCAGCATCCTTGACTTTGCTTAGTTAAAACCCCTGTTTAGTCTGTCCTAGGAATGTCCTCTTATAACTATTGATGGAGACCATTGATTCCTTCCTTCACTGGGTTGTATTTTGTATGCTGGTTCTCTTCCATAACATAATTAAGACTCAAATCAAGAGAATCTTGTTTTGTTATGGAGGACAATGTTAAAGAGTATGGTGATTCTTCCTGGAAACAATTTTAAACAAGGCATTCTGACAGTCACTTGCGATAAAGATAGGGCTTGAGGTATGAATCTACTGTACATTTTATTTGTGGAATGGTAATTTCACTGTAGTAACAAACTGCAGTTTCCAAAACAGGAAAGGTTTACATATTCCAGCTTCGTTTACATCCCCCGAGGTATCATTCCTCTCTCAATCACTGCCAAAAATATATTGGACCCATGGGTGATAAACATCCCCAAATAAGAAAAACTAAATATAGACAATCACCAGCAACAGGGGAAAACATCTATAAAACATATTTAAAGCCAACATCTAACACTGACTGAATGACGCTTCTGTGGTTAGAACATTCTGTGGTTCGTGACACAGTCCATCAGTCACATTACCGGTGAAACAACTACTTAATTTTGAAATAACCTTTTGAATTGCAGAACCACATGTTCGTACAGTAAGTAGTGGGCCACTTCCTCTCCCCTCTGGCTTCCAAAATGTCTGTCTCAGATGTCAGCAGGCCCAGGCACGGCGTGGGGTCCGTGCTCCAGCAAGAAGGGAGTAGAAGGCTAGGGAAACCTTCCAGTCCCCAAATGCAGAACTCTGTCCTAGCCCTTACACCCTTCAATTCCCTTCCCTCCATCTGTAAGGTCCAAGAAGCACATGCACATTGTTTACATATAAGATCAGTAACCAGTGAGTATTTTAGTTCAATTTGTGTTAACATTATTCGGTACTACTAGTCTTGAGAAACGACCACACGTTTGTGGTTAGGCACCAATGTTCTTGCATGTTCCTGCCAGCTTTTCAGTTTTTTTTTAGCTTTTCGAAAGCCTTCAGCAACACAACATCTGTTTCCATTCAAATAGTCTCTGTCAGTTACTCTGACCTTATAAATCATATTAGATAACTCTTTTAGCGCATGGGCGTAGGCACGGTTGGGCCTGGCCCACCCACTGGGGAGCCAGGCCCACCCAATAAAATGTACAATTTTTTATGTTCCAAACAGGACATTTGTGTTCTTACCTAATCATGCAAACACCATCAGACAGAATTCATAGCAAGCAGTGCACAGAGTTAGTCAGATTTGATTAAATATAACATGAGAGATTAACTGGAATGGAATTCACTCTCACGGGATAGGTTGCTAAGAAAAACGAACTGAAAGCCACACCCCCAATAAACCACGAATATGACTGCATTTAGGCATATGTCACTGTGCTTCTATAGCTATATGCACCAAAACGAGAGCTTGGGACTATAAGGTTCTATCAACATTATTTTAAACTTAACATGAATAGGGATATTTAGAGTACTATATATATATATATATATATATATATATATATATATATATATATATATATATATATATATATATATATATATATATATATATATTAGAGAACATTGAACAGAACAAGGCTATGTCAATAACTCAATTTTGACTAAAATGCAGATAGAACCTTATAGTCCCAAACTCTCGGCATGTCACTGCCTACTTCATTTGTTCATTGAGCAAACAAGACAGCTCATAAACCAGTGCCTTTATCACAGTAAACACACCTATAATTGAGCTTTAATTAGCTATAAAACATAATCCACATTTCTGCAGGCCCACCCACCAACACATTTCTAGCTACGCCAATGATTTTGCGTAAGCAAATGATACCAAAGCAAACTGTTTTACATTTTACCTAAATGTTCTTATTTAGAGTAAATCTATATCCTTCCTAAAATTGGGCAACAAAAGCCTATTTTTTACTGAAACAGAAAGTTATTTGACCGTCTTCATAAAGTCCCTGAGCCTTTATCAAACTAAGGGATGTTTGTTCCAGGATTTATGGTTCACTGCCAAGCACTGTAAGAAGTCTCCCAGTTACCTTTCACCTACTTAGCCTCCACCACGGACATGAGAGGGTTAACTCATTTTCTTTGTGGTCTGGCCACAGCTCATGAATTGCCTACTTGCTCCCCAGCAGTGGGTGTTAAATCTGGACCTTGGGAATTACCATATAATGTAGGCATTCTCTGTGGTGAACTTTCCCCTAATTCTCACACTGCTCCTGCCTCACAGCAGGCCTAACAGAGGAGCACTCCAGGCCCCAGTCCAAATTATACAGCACGTTCCCCCTGACGTCCAACACAGTGCCAATGACTTCACACAACTGCAATCGGCTTCATTTTATAATAATCCCAGCCATATGATTAAACTGCCTCAGATTACATTATCGGAGAAAAAGCTTTCTCTGTACTTTGATGGATGTGTTTTCTAATAAGCACTAATATCTACAATCTACATGGCGTTTGTTAAGAAGTGCTTCATTAAATGAAGTACAATCAGTTATTTTTCTTTATGGAGGAAGCAAGACCATGTTTATTCACAAACTGTACATATTCTGTCAAATTCTTAACTATGCAAATGAATATGCAATGTAACATTGAGTTGTTTAAACCTTGTGTAAAATGAATGCAGTCCACTGATTTATCTAAATCCCTTATTTATGGGAAGTGATGGTAACTTGTGTCATTATATTACGGTCAAGTTACACCATAACACATTATCAAAAACAAAGAAATCGATGTCAGTATCAATCACAAGTGACAGGTTTAATCCTCATCACTGCATAGAAGGTCAGCTGGACCTCTCTTAGTTCCTTCCCATAGATCCCGTAACTTCTCCCTTTTTGTTTACAAAGCTCTTCTACACAAGCTTCAAACAGATCTCACTTCTCTGTTAAAGTATAAGAGTACGCGGCACCAAACCCGCTCACAGGGTTGGTTAACTCGAGGTCCCTCGTGTCTCTATCAACCTAGGTAAATCAGTCTTTAGTTTTAAGGCGCCCATGTTTGGAATAATTTACAAACATAATTCAATCTTTACATTTACATTTACATTTTAGTCATTTAGCAGACGCTCTTATCCAGAGCGACTTACAGTTAGCACATATATTATTTTATCAAACCCACAACCCTGGCGTTGCAAACGCCATGCTCTACCAACTGAGCTACATCCCCTGCCGGCCATTCCCTCCCCTACCCTGGACGACGCTGGGCCAATTGTGCGCCGCCCCATGGGTCTCCCGGTCGCGGCCGGCTACGACAGAGCCTGGATTCGAACCAGGATCTCTAGTGGCACAGCTAGCACGCCTTAGACCACTGCGCCACTCGGGAGACTAATCTTGAATCCTTGGTGCCAATAGGGCTGTTTAGAACACTGATGAGGGATGAATTCACTGAGGTTTGCAAGTGTTTTGGTTGATTGTGGGGTTTTATTTGCGTTGTTGAGATGTGGTGTGTCTGTATCTGCTGTATCCTGTAGTTTATTTGTTGTTATTTTACTGATTTATTGAATTATCATGTTGTAAGTTGTTTGTCTCAATTGGTTCCCCTGAATATATACTGAACAAAAATATAAAACGCAACATGTAAAGTGTTGGTCCCATGTTCCATGAGCTGAAATAAAAAAATCCCAGAAATGCCCTTTTGTGGGGGAAAACTCATTCTGATTGGCTGGGCCTGGCTCCCCAGTGGGTGGGCCTATGCCCTCCAAGGACACCTATGGCTGCACCCCTGCCCAGTCATGTGAAATCCATAGATTAGGGCCTAATTAAGTTATTTCAATTGACTGATTTCCTTATGTGAACTGTAACTCAGTAAAATCTTAGAAATTGTTGCGTTTAGATTTTTGTTTAGTAAACATATATATATTTTAATCAGCTTATATGGCTTTCCTATCTTGATGTGATAACAACCACTTTCTTTGTTACATCATATGTTCATCATGATGTGTTCACACAAAGTGAGTCAATCTATCCTTTATCATACAGCTGTGTGGTTGTCAATGTAAGTGCACTGACATGTCTGAACCCTTTTTCTGGGTACTGAATGATAGAAACGTTATAGTGACAGCAGCTTGCTGTTTAACATCCTTATGATCATGAATACATCCTAATGTGTTTGCACAAAAAGCTGTCTTTATCATACAGCTGTGCATGTCAATGTGCAATGGTTTGCCTGACATGTATTTATTTACTGTATTCTAAGGGTACTGATGGAAACCAGCTTCATTGTTACATCATGTGCTCCCCTCCCAGTCCTCCTGTAGACATAAAGAGTGGGGGAGAAACCAGAGAGCAGATCTCCCCCCTCTGCTCGGCCAGCCAATCAGATCAGCTAGCTGGCTGGAGTTGAAGGGCTCTGAAAGTATAAAACCGAAGTGCTCTGCACAGAGAGGTAGGAGCTTGAGATCTAGTAACCAACTGGAAAGAGAAGGGTGCACACTTTGCATGCCTCTGCAACCCACCTGACAATAAAACCAACCAAAGAAACCGAGTCAACAAACAAAGGAAAGCAATCGACAATGAAGACAACACTAGTAAGTGTGACTCTGTGCCTGGTCATTTTGATGGCCACCGGCAACCCCTTCGAGAGACGAGGAGGCTCGGCCGCTGGTGGGAAGGAGAAGAGGGTGCAGTATGCGGCGTGGGACGATGTGAATGTGATCGCCCACGGCCTGCTCCAGCTGGGTCAGGGGCTCAAGGAGCATGTGGACAAGACCAAGGGCCAGATGAGGGACATCACTGCCAAGCTGAAGGTCTTCAATGGCACCGTGGCCGACCTGGGCAAGGAGAGCCAGAGGCTGCAGGCGGAGGGCGATGCACTGAAGGCCCGGGCCCGGGGGCTGGAGAACAGGGAAGTCAAGGTGCTCAACGTGACGGCCGAGCTGAGGGAGAGGACAGAGGAGATGCAGCAGGAGAGGAAGAGGGTGGATGAGAGGATGAACAAGCTGGAGGAGAAGGTGGACGGCATGCTGCAGGGAGAGGGGCTGCCCGACATGAATGCTGGCAACTACAGCGATGCACGCATCATTGAGGTAAGGAGAGAATCCATGACTCTATTTGGTATGATACTTTGTTGTCTTTCTGTTTGAAAAAGCTATAGTACAACTGTGCATTTGACGTGAAAGAAGGAGAGCAAATGACTTGAGAGAAAGTTACTGACAAGACAAACTGTAAGCTGATTGCTGCATGTCTCCCCCTTTATAAGCTTACTTCTCTGCAGTTGCCATTCTATCCAATCATTTCTGATCTTCAATTGTATGAAGGCATTACCATGTTTTTTACAGTAAGCAGCCTGGCCTATTCATTCACTGTGCTACCATGACAAAACACCACAGCAAATAGATGAATTGATTAACATTAAAGTCTTGCTTAATACAGTAGGCTACTAGTATTATACTTTCTTCTACATCAGTCATGCATAATAGTTTGACAAATTGACTATTTGCTACCACTACCAATCTTCAGAAAAACAACTGGAGGGGGCCATGAGATGCACTTTGATGGACAAGAACAGTTGGTCTGGGGTTATTGCCATTGACCCAAAGGGACAGAAAGATATTCAGACTGAATCACTTGGACTGTACAGAAGGCACGCCAGTGGGCATGTTACTATTGTGCTGAAGAGCTTGGCCTATGTGCAGAGAAAACACTAAATCTTGCCAGACAAAGGAACTGCACGCCTTATTTTCAGAATGTGTGAATAATTTTTAAACCTTGATATTTGGAACATGGTCCAGTTGAGGAAAATGTCACGCTTGATTTCTAGACGGTTTACAGCTGCTATAGCACCTGAAAACTCGAAAGAGAATTTCTTGTTCTGACATTACCTTTTTTGTGGGATGGAAAACCCTGCGTTATTATGTAACCAAAGATGTTGGAGAAAACAAATACCAGCGTTGAATTTGGACATGTGCTCGGGTGGGATATGAGTTCTGTATTGCAGTTTATTTGATATAGTCTAGTTCACAATGTCGGCTTTGTGGTGGGCTATTCATGTTATAAGTAACCTAGGTTACTTAAAATTAAGTCACAGGAGAAAGACTAACAGGTTACCTTTCTGTTTTCTTTCAGTGGATGTTGGAAGCTCAGAATAAACGTATTGATGACCTGGTCAACAGAATCCGAATCCAGCAAGATAAACTTGACAAGCAGAACATGCACATCAGAACCCTGCAAAACCAGGTATGGAACACTCTGTGAATAATAATTGTAACATTATCATGACTTATGCTATTGTTTTATATTACTTATTTAAAGTTTCGTTTTCTTGCTCACTCAGATTCAGCTGACAAAAGAGAGACCAGCATTCAGTCGTAAACCAGTGGAGGCCGTTCAAAATGGTAGCATTGAACAGCGCGACTCACCCATCGGTAAGTAAAGCCAAGCTTCGTGTCAAATCCGTTGATTCAATTAACTTTTAAGACACCCAGACAAAGACTGGCCTCGCGTCCCATGCCATCTGCTTAGGGACAGTAAGAGGCTTAAAACATCAACTTTAACTGGAGTTGTCCCTACATGACGTGAAGTATACGCCTATTAACTTTAATTATCCGATAATTTTATGCGCTCATCTATCTGCCCAAAGCGCACGAGAAATTACGCACAGGTGATTGGCCATTACTTGTCTGATGGAATCCCAGTTGGAGCTTGTTTTGTCACAAGTTCCCAGTCGTCTTGAACACGTTCCCAGTTGTCTTGAACGCACTCAAGTCGGAGTCTGAGATTTCTGATTCCCCAGTTGTTTTGAATACGACATTTCCACCCAAAAAGTATATGTGATGACGTTTAATCAATGTGGGAATCTGATTGGATTTGCAAAAAGACATCAACATAAGGACATTTTGTATTTTTTCACGCAACTTTTAACCTAAATCCAATGACATGGTGAAATGTTTTGGTTGATTTCACGTTGAATTCATGTTAGTTGACAACTCAACCAAATGTAAATCAGAACTAGACGTTGAACTGACATCTGTGCCCATTGGGTGTTTTCATTGGGTTCACAGAAAATAGCATATATTCACAGTATAAAGAAAAAGATCACATCAGGAAGTGTACATTAAGTAATGCTACACCCTGTCTTACTCAATACTGCAGTACAGTAATTGTAAATGTGATCACGATGTCCTCAACCTACACCCACGTCAGGCAGCTGTTCCCATCTGAAATGTACTACAGTGACCTACTCATAATATGGGCTTTCATCAGAGCAGAATAGAGTTGGATCATGGCCAAGTAGGGAAAAGTTCTGACACTAGTTCCATGGTTTCTGGCAATGGAACAATGATTAGGCCTAACTCACGGCAAGTTCCTGTTTAGTCCTCAGTGGGGGGGATATGAATGAAACAAAATGACTATACAGGAAATTCAATTAATCATATATCCCTCTGAATGTGACCTATGCAAACCACGTCACTTTATGTATGTTGGTCAGATATGTGGTTGACCTACTAGAGTTGATTGAAAAAGAAAGTAACATGGTTATACCATTTCAGTATATTGCCTGTTAAAACAAGTAAAGTATTGCTCTCTCAATCACAAGCAACATCACTCGTGGTTATATAAAAATATTTCACACTGTCTGATAGCCACTGAGGGAGGTAGTTGAAAGATGAACCCAGAGCTGTGAGATGCAGTCACCCAGCAGAACACAGAGTCCTCTCACGACAAGTTCTGACAGCAGGATTTCAGGAATGTTATAAAAGAAACAAGTCCTCTGGCTGGACTTCATTTGGGGGAGAGTTCAGCAGTCTTGGACAGTGTTATCTCAGGGTCACAATAGACCCCCAGTACAGAGGGATTACAAATCTGACAGAGCTAGGGGAGGGGGAGTGGGGAATTTCCAAAACTAGTATGCTATGTTCTTCAGATTAGGTCCTCTGGGCCAGAGCCAGAAAAAGTCATAAAAGAAAGCAAGAAAATGGAGGTGGTCTAATTTTGTCTGGTGAATTTTGCACACACATCCTTTGTTGTTTTGAAGACACTGACGGCCTCCCTTGTTCCTCCATCCTTCCAGCTCTCCACTTTCTACTAAATCCCTCAAGAATGTCCAACTCTTCCCCCAGATCTGTCAGAGAAGTCAGATGTCCACCTTCTCCCCTCCTCCATCCCTCCGCCAGCTCTCTATCCCCGTAGACTCCCGCCTCTTCGGGCATAGATGAATATGCCAAAGTTGAGGAGAACCCCTGACCGCAAGGCAAATCGCGACTACAACTACCCATCGCTAATCAATAGAGCTCATGCATCGCCTAGAAGGGTTATTCCAGAAAAGTGATGTGTTGCGGTCCTGTGGTCTGCACTCATGTTCGTACTTGAAAACTAAAAATAGCAACCAAGTCAAACCAAAACCAATATTGATTGATTGGCCCCAATTCAATTAATCTTTAATCATAGTTTAGGCGATTGGTGCAGACAAAGAGCATCATAGCTGATGAACATATGCAATATCTCTCAAGTCAGCATCATATAAACATGAACTATTTTCTGGAAAACATTAAGGTTGTGCTGTGCACCAACTCATGCCTTATCAGGCACATTACAGCCAATGGGCCCCCCAGGCCTTTTGTTGATGCTGCCTGGCTGTCTCTATCCCATATAGTGACAGCACTCTCTGAGCATTCCCTGTGCATGCAGTGGCCATGCATTCCTATGTCACTGACTGGCTGCTGTGCATGTGAGGGAGGTGAGACAAACAGGAGGGGAAGGGGAGGTGGAGGGAGAGGGAGGACAGAAGGGGGGTAGTGGAATGCGAGTTGAGTTGTTTGCAATCAATAAGCCAGGCAGCTGAGGTGGGAGTCTGCTTGGGAACTGGGAGAAAGGTCATGTTTACTACTAAGCAATGAGCTCTCTTTTTTTCCAGGCAGTTCGGACTAGGGCACAACACATTAACACTTTATCTGTGTTAGGGTTCCAACTACTGATAAACCCACTTCACGATAAGGCCGCTTTATTTGCAAACATTCAGCATTCACAGACCTGGAGAGCTACAATGGAGAAGTCAATGATAGGGATCCCAGCAGTGGAGGCTGGTGGGAGGACCTATAGGAGAACGGGCTCATTGTAATGGTTGGAATGGAATAAATGGAACAGTATAAAAAATATGGAAACCACATTTGACTCCGTTCCTTCAATTACATTCCAGCCATTAAAATGAGGCCGTCCTCTCCACCAGCCTCTACTGGATCCCAGATAGGGAAACCAGATGTATCCTGATTCCTGAACATATGACCTAGTTATTAAGTGAAAGGTAGACATGTTCTCCAACAATGTCCCTAGAAGTGTGAAATCCCTCAGGAGAAAACAGTGGAGTTGGCAGAGTGGACTTTTGCCCATTTGCTCACAAACAAGCTCCATGATGGCTGCTGGCCGGCATTACAGTTTGAAGTTTAAGGAGCTCGAGATGAGAAACCAGAGTTTTGTTTTGTAGTTGAAGGAGTCATTTCTCATTTATTTTATTTATTTATATTTGTGCCAGTGTAGGGGAAAGGCCAAAGCACTGTTAGGACACAGACCTTGACGACGTGCACTGATACTGACTATTTGAGATATGAAGTGTGGACGAACTGTTTGTGAACCATGTTGTATTTTTGTGTTTGTTCTTTCAGAGATGGCCTCAGATTGCCATGAACTGTTCCTGAAAGGTGAGACGGCCAGCGGCGTGTACACCATTCAGCCATTAAACTACCAATCCTTTGAAGTCTTCTGCGAAATGACAGCCGGTAAGTGGAATTAGCCAGCGTTATACCCTTGTGTTCTATTTACAGGGCTTAACTAACAATTGTTAACTAGTCCAACAACCAATCATTATCTTCAGGCAAAAGGATAGCTCAAAAGCCCCTATAGGGGCAGGTCACCGTATAAGGTTTCCCTATAGCTTAGTATCTAAACACATTGTATCAATACATTTATGACAGTTGGCTGTAGTAAATTGCTCATGGTCTAGACTAATCCAACTGCTCTTCCTCTTTCCTCTCTACAGAAGGTGGCTGGACTGTGATCCAGAGGCGCCAGAATGGCTCAGTTGACTTTGACCAGCTATGGCAGGCGTACCAGAGCGGCTTTGGCAGTCTGAGTGGTAAATAAATCCTCTGTTATCTTTTCTCATCTCCCTCACTAAATTCCACTAGCGCTAGCTAGCGAGGTCATACCGAGATTCGGACAGTACCACCCATAGCCACAGCATAGAACAGTACAGCGCAGAGCGCTTGACCCGAAGCCTCCCAGTTCAGTTTGATTAACAAGCAGTGATACTAACACTAATACAGGATTGTAGATGTCAAGATCGAGGGATCAGGTGGATCTTGATATGGCAGGTTTGGCATAAACAACCATCTAATCTGCAGCTTTAATGACACTGGTGGCTTTAGGTGCCCGAAGTGACCAAATCACATGTTCTATTCCTTTTAAATTCCATTAAGTGATTACTGGCCCTGTTACGATCAGATCTTTTAAATTAACGAAGACACTGAGATAGCTGGACACATGTATGCAGACTTTGCACATGCTACCACAGCCACCGATTAGGTTTTAACCCTTGTTTGATCTCTCTCACTAGGTGAGTTCTGGCTTGGTCTTGAGAAGATGCATGCTGTGGCCAAAGACACTGACTACACCCTCAAGGTCAAGTTTTCCGACTGGAGGGACGATTCTGAGACCATCCAGTACCCCATCCGCCTGGGCGGGGAGGAGAGTCACTACGCCCTCCACATCCAGGAGACCTCCATCGGCAACCTGGAGAGCTCCCTGGCCACCGACGCCTCCGGCCTGCCCTTCTCCACCCGCGACCAAGACAATGACCAGAAGAGTGACACCAACTGCGCCAAACACCTCTCTGGTACGCTCATCTTTTTCAAAGTGACTTTTTGTCCTAATTTTATCTTGAGGTCTAAGATTTCTCTCTCAATAACTCAAATTCGGAATGGAGCACCAATGTCAATGTTGTTTGCTCTCTTTCTCCAGGTGGCTGGTGGTTCAGCAACTGCGGACGCTCCAACCTGAACGGGCGCTACATCATGAGCCCTCCTCCCAAGCAGAGGCATCAGAGGAAGCAGGGGGTCTTCTGGAAGACCTGGCGTGGACGTTACTATCCCCTGAAGACCAGCGTCATGATGATCGCCCCCGCCGCCATCGAGGACAAGTCATAGAGGAGAGACATGGCAGTCTTCAGACTTTTCTTTTCTTAAATTGAAACACAGTTAGAGGTGGTTGACCGATGAGTTGGGTTAGCTACCCGCTCAGCCCAGGCCTCAGCCACTGAGACTTCCAACAGAGCCAAGGCCATCATAAAAGCCAAATGAACTCATAGTTGAATGAGCTCCATGTTTCCTAAGCTCTGTTTTTCGAAAGTCTTCAAGTCTCTCAGCTACAGACACAACCGAACAATGCAGAAATGTCTGTTTAAGAAGTGAAGAAGTACATGTGCATCAGCCTTAGTAGAAATTAATGGAACAGAATGAGGCGAGTTCCATCATGTGAGAAACCAAGCATTTTACACATGTTGAGACCCATCAGATGTTTTTAAATGCGAGCTCTCCCAGATGTTGAACTGTGATTTCTAGCTAGAATCCAGTACTATCAGCATGAACACTGCCCTCCACTGTAGTTGTACAAGTGGGGCAACTCTAGAGTTTCTTAATCCGATTGTATGGACCAAATGGTGACTGAAACAATTAGTTGTTTTCCACATGAAAGTAATGGCATTAGCTATTCAAAGGCATATATAAAGAAATAATCAATGTAAACTAGAATTACAGAATTACAGAATTACAGTACGTAATGAGACAGCAATTGTGGTTTCATTGTCTACATTTCACGTTTCTCTATAGAGCAAACACCATTCCAGCCTTTGTAAAAGTAACTTTTCCTGCTGTTTTATTTTGAATCAAAGTAAGCTCCCGCTCCACTGTTGCGTTCTTGTGGAGATGTTTTATTCCTCAGTCATATTGACTGCCTTTAAAATGACCAGAGTCATTTCTTTCTGTATAGTGTATGATGAATGAATATCGACTGTCTCTTCAGAACCTTTACTGTAACCTGTTGTAACATTCTCTAGTGTTCTTGTCGATGACTTGAGTTTTTCCCTTCTTTATTTAAAAGTTGTAAAGAATCTTTATATATTTCTGGTATTGCCTGTTTGTAATTTATATAGTCTATTTTATGTTTTCCAGTTGTAAAATTGCTGTTGTTTTTTAAAGAGATCTTTGGCATGAACCAGCCAATAAAAATGATTTAAAGAAAAATACTTTCTGATCTCTGATCAAACACACTGATGCAGCTGTAAATACAAACCAGAAGTGAGCCAATGGCCAGAATGGAGTAACATGTCAGACAACTCAAAAACATTCAAATGAATATGGTAGCCAACCTGAAAACTAGTCAAATGAACATCATAGCCAACCTGAAAACAGTCAAATGAACATGGTAGCCCAGGGATTTTCAAACTTTTCTTGCCCAGGGACCCCCGCCCAGGCAAACCAGGGACCCCATCATATGTTAGCAACAACAACAAAAAAGTAATGTCTTATCAGGTGAATGATAATGGCATATAGAAGTAATATATATTTTAAAATGAATAGATTTGGTAGACATTTTCATTAATTTTTTTAACTACATTTACATTTTAGTCATTTAGCAGACGCTCTTATGCAGAGCTATTTACAGTTATTGAATATATTGTTTATTTTTATACTGGCCCCCCGTGGGAATCGAACCCACAACCCTGGCATTGCAAACGCCATGCTCTATCAACTGAGCTACATCCCTGCCGGCCATTCCCTCCCCTACCCTGGACGACGCTGGGCCAATTGTGCGCCGCCCATGAGTCTCCCGGTCGCGGCCGGCTGCGACAGAGCCTGGATTCGAACCAGGATCTCTAGTGACACAGTTAGCACTGCGATGCAGTGCCTTAGACCATTAGAAAGGTATCTTGGCAGGGGAGAGATGTTGCTGTTGTAAAGCACATTTTCTGCAATTCTACACATTTTCCCATTGAGTTGAGAGAAAATGTTGCCGTTTTAAAGCTAATTTCCTGCAATTTATGTTGTGCTCCTCTGCTCAAACATATCAAAATCAATGGGCATGTGCCCTGAATGCCCGGTTTTGGAATTTTCAATTCTCCCTGACTGTCTAGCTTTTAATTGATTGTTAGTTCTCAAAGATGGTATTATTTAAAAATATGTATAGATCAATATCTTTTCTGCATGCTTTCTATCTGGTTTTGATCGTTTAAGTTGACACTGAAATTGCTTTTCCATCCTGAAAATTGCCACTTAGACTGCCTGCCTAAGAATTTTCTATAAAGAAAAACCCCAGTAATTAGCTCCAATGACTGCAATTTCCTCCATATTAAGGGATTTCGAGATTTTGGCAATGACGCTATTTAAATCTACTTCACCAGAGTCGGATGAACAGGAACAGCTAGCATGCTAAACTGTTCCTTTAGACTTCCAATTGTGCCAATGCTAGTTAAACGACCTCTAACGTCCTTCATAAATGGTATCCACAATGGTATTCTGTTGTAGCTAGCGATATTCATAAAAATTAGGGTAGCCAACTCAAAAACATTCAAATGAACATTGTAGCCGACTCAAAAACAGTCAAATTAACATAGTCTTAAACTTCCATCCAACACAGATGGTAGGTCAGCGTGAGATACTTGATTGGAAGATGGATAAGCAGACTAGCTAACTAATTCATCCCGTTCGCACACAGAGGGTTAATCAGATCTTGGCATACTGCCTGGCTGGCACGTGATAGAGGAATGTCCTGGCTGTACTTAAGCTTGCCTTGCACTGCACCCCACAGCCAAGAGACAGGCCCCAACTCTACTAGCTGCGTCCCCCATCTCTTCTAGCAAATGGTTCCCAATGTGAAGATTCCCCACAAACAAACTACAGAGATAAACATGTCACAGTGCTGAACAGGAACAGGCTGCTGTGCCATGGTATGTTTGCTGTTACAAAGTAAGTAAGGGTTCTTCCAATTAGTGGTATTGATTGAAAATGAGCTGACACAGTTGAGTTCAAACATGCTTATCAAATCAATATGGTATTTTTTGCATTGATTTCAATGATTTATTAGCATATTACCAAGCTTGATAATATTGCATTTTATCAAGACTGCAGTACTGAAGCCATTCCATCATCGTAAAAGTAGTGAGAGCACACGCCTGGCTCTTGGCTTGCCATAGTGAGGAAACATAATATTTCACCAATTCGCCTTACATTCCAGCCACTGGATGGAATACCTGAGGGAAGCAAACAACTTACCCTAGGCAGGCTAGGGTTGAGACAGAGACAAGTTTTAACAGTATCAGTACATAGTGTCTTGGAAGCACCGTGCACGTGGACCTCTCGTATTCCCCCAGAATTAACAGCTCAGTCATCTCACAACAAGCTAAGTCATCTCACAACAAGCTAGGTCCAGTGGCTTCCTTCTGTCAACTTCAATGTCTCACACCTCTGATAAATCTGGTCAGGTGTCAGGCTTACTGCTAATGTGCTTTCTAACACCTTCAGAGAGAGTGAGTGACAGGAAGGGACATGCAATGCCCAATGTCTCGCTGTTCGCGATTGACCTCTTATCAAATGCTAGCTCAGTGGAGTTTTCCTTACTCAATCTTGTTCTGAGGGCAGCTCTGCCTTAAGGGCAGAACAAATGGCATTCTGCCTGGGTGCCTGCGGGATTCTAGCCAATTGGTAATGTTCTTGCTGTGACACTCAGGCTATTATTCTGACTTTCAAGGGTCATAATTCACACATGGAAAAGATACTCTGAGATGCATTTTTCGTAGAGGATGTCAAATCAAATATGTTGTCGTTTTTATCAATTAAAAGGTAGCCAAAGGGTAAACAGTTACTTTGATTATCCATTTGCAATAAAAAAAAATACAATTGCACTTCACTCATAAAGGGTGAGGTCCCATTTGTACCTGCAGTTGAATGTCTCACCATCTGAAACAGGTGCTCAAAATGGCTACTAAAGCTTAATGCAGTGGTGTACATGGACAGCAGAGTCTACTCAGTAACATCAAGGCATCTGTAGCATCAATCACTTCCAAGCACTCTTGCTCCCAGCAAGCTCATCTATAAAACACAAGCATCAATCACTGGTAGCCATGGCAACTGTTCCCCCCCAAAGGGAAGGTGGATACCCTGCATAAGGACTCAATGATTAAAGGCGCTTACTGTTCCAAAGGGACATGAGATGTCTTTCCCGCTCTGCACCGAACTAGGAGGGTCAAAGAGGAATATCAATTCACATGGAAAGATGTATAGCCCTGAGATTGAGCATAGTTTCACTGTGTTAAAGATATCTATCACATTGTAGTTGACCATGACACTCAGCTTGTTATCATGTACAATATGAGATATTGAAGCAGTCTCTCAACATCTTGGTTTGTCATTCATGTCTATGTATCTATCCTTCCATCTATCTATCTTTTATTTATGTTATTCTGTGATAAATTAAATAACATCAAAGAGCGGAGATTTCATCATACATTTATTCATCATCATGTATAAATTTTATTCAGGTGGTAAAAAGCTGTTTAAGACACGGCTGCTCACACTTGCATCGTTATTGCAGTAAAAAAGAAAACACCAGCATGATCAAGTCAGAAGTACTTTGGCAAATATTGTATCTTCAGAAGGCAAGCCGACACCTTCAGCAATGTAATGTGAGGAGAGATTAGAGAAACGGGGCGCAAAAATTACTTTATTATATCAATGAGTGACTTCATTTGACACTCATTATAAAACAATAAGAATCCATACAAATATTTTATTTTAACAATACACAATTAAAATAGTTAATGAATGCAAGTAGAGGCAGGGTTTCTTCCTCTAGCCATTACACACCACCTCCAAGGTTTAAACTCACAGTAAGTATTATAGCTATTCTGTCTGTGTCTGTCTGTGTGTTATTCGGTCTGTCTGTATAGATTCCATTTCATGTTTGAGGAACCCCACTCCTACTACTGACTTGAGTGAATAAAATGGAGGAAAAATAAAAACATTTGGCAAAACAATCATGGTTCCAGAGAAGAGGAAAAACAGGAGAGTAATTGTGGCCCAGCCTCCAGATAATGTTGTCCTCCTTTCATTCCACAGTGAAACTTGATAACATTGCCTTGGATCACCTTAGGTAACCTAAACATACCCCCACCCTAACGTAGGGGCGAGAGAAAGGAAGAATGGAAGAGAGAGAGAGCAAGCAACAGAGAAAGAGAGAGGTGGAGGTATAATTGAGTGAGATCTCCAGTTCAGGTAAATGTGGGGTGGGTGGGTGTGGCTGCAGAGTGGGAGGTCTCTATGCCAAGGTTGAGGGGTTATTGGGGGTGGAGAGTTGGTTTCAGTATGGGGGTGGAGGTGGGGATTGAGGGGGGACGATTACCCCGGTTTCAGAGGTATTGTTGTAGAAAGTGCAGCAGCATGATCTCGTAGTGTTCTCCTGACTCTGGGCAGCGAATACTGTGTCGCTCGTTGGGGTAGACCTGCAAAACAACAGAGGAAAATCAACCACTAATTCCTGCTTCAGTACATACAAATAAAATAAAATCCAATTGTATTTGTCACATGCGCCAAATACAACAGGTGTAGACCTTACAGTGAAATGCTTACTTACAAGCCCTTAACCAACAATGCAGTTTTAAGAAAAATAAGTGTTAAGTTAACAATAGATAAGTAAAAAATAAATGCAGTAAAATTACAGTAAAAATAACAGTACATGTGACTCCAGCTAGATACAATCTGCAATGTTCTGAAAACGCAAAATTCCCTGAAACCCATTCATACCAAGGAGCTGTAGAGTTATAAGGAGGCCCAACTTTCTGGTCTGCTGGCTTTCATTTTTAATTGACAGTTTAGTCGTTAATTAAAGTCATTGGCTTCATGCTATATACAGTGGGCTCCAAAATTACTGGCACCCCTGACTGGCAATGCACAAACAATACTTAAAAAAATATAAACAATATAATTATACATTTTAGATTTTAGTCATTTAGCAGACGCTCTTATCCAGTGCCACTTACAGGAGCAATTAGGGTTAAGTGCCTTGCTCAAGGGCACGTCAACAGATTTTTCACCTAGTCGGCTCGGGGATTAGAACCAGCGACCTTTCGGTTACTGGCACAACGCTCTTAACCACTAAACTACCTGCCGCCCCAGGTAAACTCAAAATACCAACATGTGAGAAATACTGTACTTTATTAATGTTTCAATGGAACCAACCAAAATCATACAATTATTTAATACAAAATAAATGTAACCAAAATCAAGGTTTCATAATTATTGGCACTCCTCATTTAGTACTTAGTGCAACCACCTCTGGCAAGGATAACCGCATGGAGTCTTTTCCTGTAATGTTTGACAAGGTTAAGGAACACATTTGGAAGGATTTTGGACCATTCCTCTATGCAGATCCTTTCAAGATCCTTCACATTTTTGGGTTTGCGCTTATCAACTGCCCTTTTCAACTCAGCCCATAGATTTTCGATTGGATTGAGGTCCGGCGACTGAGATGGCCATGGCAGAACATTGATTTTGTTGTCACAGAACCATTTCTGTGTGGATCTTGAGGTATGTTTTGGGTCATTGTCTTGTTGGAAAGTCCACCTACGGCCAAGTCCCAGCCTTCTGGCAGAGGCAACCAGATTGTCAGCCAAAAATGCCTGATACTTGGTGGAATTCATTATGCCATCAATCTTAACCAGTGCCCCTGGACCTTTAGAATTAAAACAGCTCCAAAACATCACTGACCCACCACCATATTTCACCGTGGATATGAGGTGCCTCTCCTTGTATGCATCTCTGTTGACGCCAAACATGCCGATGCTGAATCTGACCAAAACGTTCAATTTTGGTCTCATCTGACAAGAGCACTTTCTTCCAGTCATAATTTTAATTACGTTTGGCAAACTCCAAGAGCTTGCGTCTGTGTCTTGTGGTCAGAAAGGGCTTTCTTCTGGCAACCCTTCCAAAGCGCCTGTGGCCTGCAATTCTTTCACAGTGATTCTTGGGGATTTTGTTGCTTCTCTCACCATCCTCCTCCCTATCCTGGTGGGCAAAATGCATTTGCGTCCTCTACCCGTGAGGTTTTCAACTGTTCCATATCTTTTTAATTTGTTAATAATTGCCCTGACAGTGCTCAGTGGTATATTCAATCGTTTGTGGATTTTCTTGTAGCCATTACCAGATTTATGAAGGTCTACAACCATCTGTCTCTTTTGAACTGCCAGTTCTTTTGTTTTCTTCATGGTGTTGGATGACAAAGGGATATTGCATGCGTTACCTCATTTTTATACCCTAGTGAAACAGGAAGTGATGTAATGGCTCTATATAGTTCCTTAAGACTTAGATAAACTTAAATAAGTGGAATTTAATTCCTGGTTTAATTTTGGTAGATGTTTTTTTACAATAATCTTTAAGGGTGCCATTAATTGTGAAACTTTGATTTGGAGGAGATTGATTTTTAATTAAATCAATAAATGATTTTGGTGGGTTCCATTGGAACATTAATATAGTACAGTATTTCTCACATGTTGGTATTTTAAGTTTCTCTATAATTATATTGTTTATATTTTTTAAAGTATTGTTTGTGCATTGCCAGTCAGGGGTGCCAGTAATTTTGGAGCCCACTGTAAGTGCATACCAATGTATTCTTATTGGCCACACTTTCACAGCACATGGAAGAGACTGTAGCAGTATTTTCTCTAATTGTGCAACAATAATAATAATAATAATATGCCATTTAGCAGACGCTTTTATCCAAAGCGACTTACAGTCATGCGTGCATACATTTTTTTTGTGTATGGGTGGTCCCGGGGATCGAACCCACTACCTTGGCGTTACAAGCGCCGTGCTCTACCAGCTGAGCTACAGAGGACCACACACAATGTTAGGGAGAAAATATATCAGTACCGTAGAGATAGTTGATGCACAGTGTACAGTAGTTGCCCAACTGTTGCATTCCAACAGTGTTTAAGCAAAGCTGTCTAATTTGACAGCTGCACTGTGTTATTGCACTGTCAAAACGTCAACCAAAGTGATTAAGATGATAATCAGCAGAAGCTGCTATGCCTATGGCCCACAGCGACTATAAGTTATCCATAACCTGCCTTTAAGACTGATTTAGAAATGTGAAAAGCACATCAATAATTTTAGAAAAAGTAAAATACTCGCCTGTAGCTGATATGGCTTCCCAGCGCGGATTATTTGTGACACCAGGAAGTTGGTGTGGAAAAAGTGTACATTCTCGTCGAGGAATCCATGTAAAATCAGCAAGCGGTTTGGCCTGGGAGGACAAGGAGAGGGTTTCAAAGGATGGAAATGGACATAAAAACCACATGAAAACTAAAACAGGTTATATTATCATGTTGCCCCCTTTTTTTGAATTTATACTATACAATATGAAGTATATCCTGGGTTTTTGAAATGTATACAGATAGAAATAAAGGGGCGCAACTTTCACTGGGGACGGGGGGGGACATGTCCCCCCCACATTCTGAAATTGCATTTTTGTCCCCCCCAGTTTTGTCATTGGAATGTGATCAAAAACGAGGCAACGGCGTGCTTTAGGACCATGCGGACACCTCAGAGTGGTCGGGGAGGCTGTTTGGAGTGTTTATCCCACCGGATAAAAAAAAAGAAAAAAGGTTATGTCCCTCCCACTTCTAAAACCAAAGTTGCGCCCCTGTAGAAATGTCTATGGAGAAACTCAATAACATCCCATCTGTCCTTGAAATTTGAGCTGGGACATTCTTTGCTCAAATCCCATGCCTGTTATAAACCAACAATGATTAACAAAATGGAAAGTAAAATAGAATTGTGCGGTCACATTACAATACCTACATCTGACCTCTTGAGGGCCTACCATCATACCCAGAATACAAAAGTGTTATCTACAGTATATATAGTTAGATAAGTAGGCTGTTCTTATTTCTTTGATTCGTTCAATTGTATAGAGTGCAGTAAACAGGGACTGACTCGCTGGGCAGCTTGTCCACATGCAGAGCCACGGAGCCCTCCTCGTAGCCCTGCTGGTTGTTCTCAGGCGTATCCATGTAGCGCTCCGTGTAGCCCGTGTCGTACGCCATCCACACGGTCACTGGGGCGCCCGCTATGGCCACCTGAAAGGAACAACAACATTGCCATTTTTTTCTCCATTGATTTTACTTGTTTATTTCAGTAGGGACAGCACTTAAATTAGCATGTCCTGCTATTTCTCCCTCCACAACCTCTATTGGGACAGACACGATTAAGACATGACCACATTGAAACAACAAAATGTCAGATGCATTGTACCGTCACACTTCAGTTTGCGCAAATTTCCATCATTAGCGGTTAGCACAACATGACAGGTCGAACAGCGTTTGAGAAGATGGATGCCTGTGGGATTTGGTTCAGGATAACGGGGTTGTGGCATGCAGTGAGTTGTGGCATGTCTAAACTTCAGTTCATTGCGGTTTCAGTTTCATGGTTCAATGAAGCGCGGTTTCTGTCAAGCAGTAATGTACATATTGACAAGAGCCTGAATAGGCCTCCTGTTACCTCTGGAGTGCTGGTGAGAGATATACTCTTGTTGGTCTTTGCCAGTGTGCTGTGTAGAGCAGTACCACCATGGACAGGCACTGTGAGCTAAGACTACTGTAGGAACTGCAGTATGGAATGACGTGTAATCCACAGTGACACCATGAGGACAAATGGGAAAACTACATCTACAGAATACCATACTTAATCAAACCTATCCCATCTATGGTCCATTACATAATCAATACAGTCCACTCTGATTTTAAGGAGAAGGAAATAGTAGAAGGAAGGGAATGAAACTTTGTGGAATTAACCTCAGCCCAGTCCAATCGAGATCTAGAGATTCTATTGTCTCAGAATGGTGCCTTTTACTGTGGTGCATCTCACCTTGAAGACGTTGGGTCTCTGAATGAGGCCCATGAGGGAGAGGAAGCCGCCGTAGGACCAGCCGTGGATGGCCACGCGACTCAGGTCCACAAAGTTGAACCTCTCCGACACATACTGCAGCCCTTCCACCTGGTCCTCGATCTCCACCTGGCCCTGGTAACACACACACACAGACACAGAGAGAAAGAGAGAGGAGGGCATTAGTCACACTGATACATCCACATGTCCAGATGACTTGGGCAGAATTAACATGGTTCTAAAATTCACAAAATGATTCATAGTCTGGATGAAAGATCAAAGATGTGAGAGATATTAAGTGAACATCCCAAAGTCACACCGGTGCTGTCCAATTAATAAATAGTATGAAGTATTATTAATAAATAAAAGGAAGCCAGCACATGGTATATGCTGCTCACATGTGCTTTAATTAACCTGGACAACTGGAACAGCCTTCGTTGGCAAGGTACAGTGCTATGAAAAAGTATTTGCCCCCTTTCTAATTTTCTCTACTTTTGCATATTTGTGATACTGAATGTTATCAGATCTTCAACCAAAACCTAATATTAGATAAAGGGAACATAAGTGAACAAATAACATAACAATTACATATTTATTTCATTTATTTCATAAACAAAGTTATGCAACACCCAATTCCCCTGTGTGAAAAAGTAATTGCCCCCTTACACTCAATAACTGGTTGTGCCACCTTTAGCTGCAATGACTCCAACCAAATGCTTCCTGTAGTGGTTGATCAACCACTACAGGAAGCATTTGGTTGGAGTCATTGCAGCTAAAGGTGGCACAACCAGTTATTGAGTGTAAGGGGGCAATTACTTTTTCACACAGGGGAATTGGGTGTTGCATAACTTTGTTTATGAAATAAATGAAATAAATATGTAATTGTTATGTTATTTGTTCACTTATGTTCCCTTTATCTAATATTAGGTTTTGGTTGAAGATCTGATAACATTCAGTATCACAAATATGCAAAAGTAGAGAAAATTAGAAAGGGGGCAAATACTTTTTCATAGCACTGTACAATTTGCCATTGCTTTGTCTAAAGTAGAACATGGGTACCTTAATGCTTATACACAAAAATACTTGTATTGAAAGCACTTATAAACAAAAAGCAAAGATATGGGTTGGAAGTTGCTTTCGACCAACCCTACCATTTTGTTTTTCAGAGCCCCTTCGAACTCCAGGCCCCTCTGACAGGAGCCCCTCCCATCGATGACCACCACAGCGTATCCCAGAGAGGCCAGGGTGTTGAGACGCAGGTACTTCATCCCCTTAAAGGAGTTATTCACCAACTGGACCTGTGGACACACACACATACCCTTTTCACACCGCTGAGACAAACCTAGCAGAGCCGAGCTGCCCTGGGCTGGCCTGATTACGCATACACCATAGATGCTGGAACCATGCTGGAAAGGATCACGTGAAAAGAAAATATTTTAGCAAGCACAGTGAGGTTTGGGTCAGCCCTATAGAGGACTTCAGCCTTGTACACGTACTGTTACTGTATGTGAAAAACAAGGTGACAGAGCTTGGTATGGCTATTTCCTGGGTTAAATAGGAAAGCATTCACTATTATTGCTAGTTACAAATAGGTCATAAAGGACCAGTTCCATTTCAGCCCCTGGCTCCTTCCCTAGTTCCTACCCCTTTGGTGCTCACAGATCTGACTGGATTTCTATAAGGAATTTCTCATGAAAGAAGAAAATGTTTATGTTTGAGAGAAGCCACAAACCTGCGGGCCGCCGTAGACAAAGAGGACTGTGGGATGCTTCTTGCCAGGCTGGAGGTTGTGAGGCTTGTACACCATTCCATAGAGCTGGAAGCCCGACTTTCCTGGGAAGTCAAAGATCTCCGGAGATCTGTAGTCTCCTGGGCAACCTGAAATACACACAGCAAAGTACTGATGACATCAATAATTGACTGACATAAAATTGCCCACCCAGTTTAAAACTACAATCTGGGATACGTTTTTCAGCAAAACGGCAGCCCTGCTACTTGTTCTAGTATATAGTTGAGGGATGGGGCTGGGGAAATGTCTCCACTCTCAAATTCATAAATATATATAAATAATTGAATTGAACATTGAACAGATCCCAGATTGTAGCTTTAATAAATCGATGGCCTTATGGTCTTGCCACTCCCCCCACACAACGACCAACCTACTACCCCTTAGCTACCCTAGTGAAAGATTCCTGGTGACGCCACTGCCTTGAAATAAATCAACACTCAGCTTCAACTCTACTCTAAATATTTATATATTGATTGTTTTGTTCCTAAAATACAAAGATAGCTGACCTTCACTTACAAATCTCCTCTTAATTATGCAACATGTACTATGCACAAAGTATTACTCCAAAATAGACCAATGTGATTATTTAATAAGATCTGGATTTAGCTTGGTTTACCTATGGTGCAAAGGTCACTATGAAACACCCATGACCTCATTGTAATGATGTTGTAAGATATTTTGCTTTAAAGTATTAGCGAGTCATATGGGTTGGGCCACTCAGAAGTGACTAAGTAAAGGGCAGTCTAAAATCAACGCATACTTTTTTTCATACTGTGTGTTTATTCGGCAGCATTGGTTTACGCCATTCCCTCTGCACTTCCTTGAAGTAATCACAGATCTTACACAACTGGATAGGAGTAACTCAGAATCCCATTGTAGAGTTTACACCTATCCAGTTAGATCAGTGATCGCCTAAAGGAAGGAAGGAACGATAAGTCTTTAAAGGGGTAATCTGCGATTGCTACATAAATTTTTTGACTTTTGACTTTAATATACCTATTGATTCTTGAAGAATATACAGTGCACTCGGAAAGTATTCAGACCCCTTGACTTTTTCCATGTTGTTACGTTACAGCCTTGTTCTGAAATGGATTAAATATTTTTTTCCCCTCATCAATCTACACACAATACCCCATAATGACAAAGTGAAAACAGGTTTTCAGACATTTTTGCAAATTTGTTACAAATAAAAAACGTAAATACTTTATTTACATAAGTATTCAGACCCTTTCCTATGAGACTCGAAATTGAGCTCAGGTGCATCCTGTTTTCATTGATCATCCTTGAGATGTTTCTACAACTTCATTGGAGTCCACCTGTGGTAAATTCAATTGATTGGACATGATTTGGAAAGGCACACATCTGTCTATATAAGGTCCCACAGTTGACAGTGAATGTCAGAGCAAAAACCAAGCCATGAGGTGGAAGGAATTGTCCATAGAGCTCCAAGACAGGATTGTGTCAAGGCACAGATCTGGGGAAGGGTACCAAAAAATGTCTGCAGCATTGAAGGTCCCCAAAAACACAGTGGCCTCCATCATTCTTAAATGGAAGAAGTTTGGAACCACCAAGACTCTTCCTAGGGCTGGCCGCCCGGCCAAACTGAGCAATCGGGGGAGAAGGGCCTTGGTCAGGGAGGTGACCAAAAACCCGATGGTCACTCTGACAGAACTCCAGAGTTCCTCTGTGGAGATGGGAGAACCTTCCAGAAGGACAACCATCTCTGCAGCACTCCACCAATCAGGCCTTTATGGTAGAGTGGCCAGATGGAAGCCACTCCTCAGTAAAAGGCACATGACAGCCTGCTTGGAGTTTGTCAAAAGGCACCTAAAGGACTCTCAGACCATGAGAAACAAGATTCTCTGGTCTGATGAAACCAAGATTGAACTCTTTGGCCTGAATGCCAAGCGTCACGTCTGGAGGAAACCTGGCACCATCCCTACGGTGAAGCATGGAGTTGGCAGCATTATGCTGTGGGGATGTTTTTTAGTGGCAGGGAGACTAGTCAGGAGTGAGGGAAAGATGAACAGAGCAAAGTACAGAGAGATCCTTGATGAAAACCTGCTCCAGAGTGCTCAGGACCTCAGAGTGGGGCAAAGGTTCACCTCCAACAGTACAACAACCCTAAGCACACAGCCAAGACAATGCAGGAGTGGCTTCGGGACAAGTCTCAAAGTCCTTGAGTGGCCCAGCCAGAGCCTGGACTTGAACCCTGGAGAGACCTGAAAATAGCTGTGCAGCGACGCTCCCCATCCAACCTGACAGAGCTTGAGAGGATCTGCAGAGAAGAATGGGAGAAACTCCCCAAATACAGGTGTGCCAAGCTTGTAGCGTCATACCCAAGAAGACTCGAGGCTGTAATCGCTGCCAAAGGTGCTTCAACAAAGTACTGAGTAAAGGGTCTGAATACTTATGTAAATGTGATTTTTCATTTTTTTTTATTTTATTACATTTGCAAACAAATGTAAAAACCTTTTTTTTCTTTGTCATTATGGGGTATTGTGTGTAGATTGATGAGGGGGAAAAAATAATTTAATCCATTTTTGAATAAGGCTGTAACGTAACAAAATGTGGAAAAAGTCAAGGGGTCTGAATACTTTCCAAATGCACTGTAACATAAATGCCTGATGAGCTATTGGAATGGGGCCTCACCCCTCTGTTCCTAACCTGGGGCTTCCATCATGCTGGCCCAGAACTCAGGAAGGAAGGATGTGTATTAAAGTATTGGAATGAGGCCTAAACCCTCTCATCCTGTCACCCTTACCTGGGGCTTCCATCATGCTGGCCCAGAACTCAGGCACCATGTGGAGAGGGTCTCCCTCTGAGCCGGTCAGCTTGTAGACATGGACGCAGGGGGGAGTGCTTACATTACTGTAGTGGCTGACAAACATGTCAAAGTTCTGCAGAGAGAAGAGAGAGCGAAAGAGAAAGAGGGAGGGGAGAGAGAAAGAGAGAGTAAAGAATAGCGACAGAGCACGCAGTAGAGAGGGGGAATACAGTGAAAGATAGAGGAAGAGGGGAGATACAGAAGGAGTGAGAGAAGGAGACAAAGATGAATGGCGGTGAATGAATCTTCTTATCTTCACATCGGAGACAGAATGTCACTGGGCCCTAATTTCAAGCCAGCTTTGTCGCTCATCTTATAAAGTTAGAGGTATACTAAAAAAAAGAATCACACAACTGATCTGAGACCATCAGCTTCAGAACCAACTCCCTGTGTATTTCCACATGGGTCCAGAGGCCTACACAACAGGCCACACCCCACTACACAGCATTATCCATTATATTGTAGCAACATACATCAATATCCTCTCTATGTGTCACACACACACACAGAATGACCAGATGGTTACACAGTATGACATGGGCAGTTCCACAACGCTCCCTGATGTAACCAGGCTTCTCATAGACAAGAGATCAGCTGTACATCCCTAAGGTACTTGTGTGGCATGATCTGATGAAGCGTGGGGAGAGGTTGATTGAGTGCAGCGTGTCAGAGGTCAGGGTTGTTACAGTGTTTGTTGGTACTACCTACTGCAGCGTGTTGTTTGGCAAGATGGCTAGTAAATGACAGAGGGATCTATTCCATCAAAACCTGTAGCCCGGTTTCAAGAATGCATTTTGGGGTAAGAGTTGTAATTACAGGGGTGCCAGAGGGGGGCTTGGCACCCAAAAGCTTCCCAATAGCACTGCATGCCAGGCAGCCAGGCACCCCATAAGTTGTTACAAAATCAAATGCTGATCTAGCCTACTACTGTTAGGTCAGTCCAAAGAGTAAATGTATACTTCCTACTCTGCATTATTAGGGTCAGGGTTAAGGGTAATGCTAACGTTAGTTAAATAATATTTGTCGAGTCCATACCTTGCTTATGGAGCAGCTGTGGGAGAAGCCAGGCTTGGTGAGTCTGACCACGTCGCCAGGGGACTCATAGCTGACCACATAGAGGTGGTGCTCCAGAGGGGTGTCTCTAGTGCCCTGGAAGTACACCTGCTTAGAGGCCTCATTCACCCAGATCTAGAGGGAGAGAGGGAGAGAGGGAGAGAGGGAGAGAGAGAGAGAGAGAGAGAGAGAGAGAGAGAGAGAGAGAGAGAGAGAGAGAGAGAGAGAGAGAGAGAGAGAGAGAGTGAGATCACACAATATTCATATTGTTGGCAGAAAGTACATTATAATCTTGCAATAGCGTGGGCACACACAAATCCATTATAAACATATCTACTACATCAGATTATAAAAACACTGACAAGAAGGGCTTTAATCGGATTAACTGAAGTTCCTACCTTGGAGCCATGCCTGGCCAACACCTCCCACTCTCCACTGGTCAGAGTCACCTCCTCCTTGATTGCACATTTAAAGTCTCCTACAGAGGAAGAAGAGACCATCGAGATTTGAGATGCTGTTTTGACGTCTTTTATTACACTGACCAGACTGACAGTGCAGCAATCTGACGCCCGGATGGCGACCACAGATCTTTTGAGGTTACATCCTATTGCCTTCAAGATCTTGCCTTCACTTAACCGTGACACATACAGATCAGTGATTAGCTCAAGGAAGGAAGGACAAAGCCTGAGTCCTAGATCTGTTTGTGCCGTCACACCAAGCATGACAATGACAGCAATAAAATTGGCAAGACAGCACAAACAGATCTGGGACTCAGGCAATTTGATTTTGTTTAAGGTTCTTTATTCTAATGTCTCACCCTCTGTATGTGTATAGTTTCCTGACCATTGGTAGCAGCCTGGTCGCAATGTTGATGTGATTTTGTACAGATGGCTGAAGCCCGTTTTGGATTCATTCACCCATATGAAAGAGAAGTCATCCTCTGACGTTTGAACGAATGGATAGAAAATATCATGAACCTGTGGGCAACAGAAAAACATGGTTGTTATTAGTTTGTTGTGGCCCAATTCTTCCATGCAAATATACAGAGTGTACAAAACATTAGGAACACGTGCTCTTTCCATGACATAGACTGACCAGGTGAATCTAGGTGAAAGCTATGATCCCTTATTGATGTCACTTGTTACATCCACTTCAATCAGTGTAGATGACGGGGAGGACACAGGTTAAAACCTCTACAGGATTGGCATCCCTATACCGGGACGGTTGCTGCTCAATATGCGATATGTGACTAGAATGGAGTTGTAAACAACAGCCAACTTTCCGGGACATAGACATGTCTTATATGGGCAGAAAGCTTTAATTATTGTAATCTAACTGCAGTGTCCAATTTACAGTAGTTATTACAGCTAAAAAAGACCATGCTGTTGTTTTGAGGATAGTGCACAACAACAAAATACTTTTGTCATGGCAACTGGTTGGATACATTAACCTCTGAAGGTAAATAATGTACTTACATTCAGTAATCTTGCTCTGATTTGTCATCCTGAGGGTCCCAGAGATAAAATGTAGCATAGTTTTGTTTGATAAAATCAATTTGTATATTCAACGCTGCTGGGTTTTTCATGCTCAACAGTTTCCCGTGGATATCAAGAATGGTCCACCACCCAAAGGACATCCAGCCAACTTGACAAAACTGTGGGAAGCATTGGAGTCAACATGGGCCAGCATCCCTGTGGAACACTTTCGACACCTTGTAGAGTCCATGCCCCGACGAATTGAGGATGTTCTGAGTGTATATGTCAACATAATGTAAATATATAGCGACTGTTTTACATTTTAGTCATTTAGCAGACGCTCTTATCCAGAGCGACTTACAGGAGCAATTAGGGTTAAGTGCCTTGCTCAAGGGCACACTGACAGATTTTTCACCAAATCAGCTCGGAGATTCGAACCATCGACCTTTACTGGCCCAATGCTCTTAACCACTAGGCTACCTGCCGCCTACCTGCCGACTGTCAATTGAGTGTAAATTCAATAACCAAACTCAACATGCAATTAAAATGTTCCAAGCGTAGTTCCCAACAAGCATCAAACCTTTATTTTTTAAAGGGCATGATAACCAAATCTAGTCTTATGATTCACTGTACACATAATACTAACCACATATCTGGTAGCTACAATTATCTCATATAGTACAAATTGATTAAATTGAGGGGCCCCTCTGTGAGAAATGAGAGTGCCCCTCCATTACCAAACCATATTCATGTTCCATCTTAACAACATGTTTATTTTCCCTGTTCATGCTCAGAACATGACCCAGATGTGCACAGCCTCTTGAGAAGTGCCATCCCCAGAACCCCCCCCATCCCTGGCTCTCTCACATTGATCCAGATGTCGGTGGTCTCCTCGTAGATGATGTAGGGGTGGACGTCCTCGGGCACGGCCTCCAGGCTCTCCTGCCTCTGGGCCGGGTCGTCTGTGATGGGGATGAAGAGGGCCGGGGGAAGCAGGACCAGCTGGAGTCTCCTCTGACTGCGGTCCAGCAGCACAGCCCAACCACTGGGGGGAGACAGAGAGACACTTTACCTCACTGACTGGATCCTCTACAGTACACAAGGATAATGCAAATTTGCTCGGCTCGAAGCCAGTCCCACAGCGGATTTATACCTGGGAGACCAGGTGGGTGCAATTAATCATCAGGTAGAACAGAAACCCAGCTGTACCACAGACCTCCAGGAATCCAATTTGAATACCTTGTACTTTCCTCTATTCCAAACTACAGAGGACAGCTAACCTGGTCCTGGAGAGATAGGGTACAGCAAGGTTCCCCAACTGGCGGCCCGCGGGTTGAATTTGGCCCGTGGGTGATTTTATTTCTGAGCAAAAAATAAATATACACTACATGACCAAAAGTATGTGGACACCTGCTTGTCGAACATCTCATTCCAAAACCATGGGCATTAATATGGAGTTGGTCCCCCCTTTGCTGTTATAACAGCCTCCACTCTTCTAGAAAGGCTTTCCACTAGATGTTGGAACATTTCTGTGGGGACTTCAGCCACAAGAGCATTAGTGAGGTCAGGCACTAATGTTGGCCGATTTGGCCTGGCTCGCAGTCGGCGTTCCAATTCATCCCAAAGGTGTTCGATGTGGTTGAGGTCAGGGCTCTGTGCAGGCCAGTCAAGTTCTTCCACACCGATCTCAACAAACCATTTCTGTATGGACCTTGCATTGTCATGCTGAAACAGGAAAGGGCCTTCCCTAAACTGTTGCCACAAAGTTGAAAGCACAGAATCGTCTAGAATGTCATGGCATGCTATAGCCCGAACCATGAAAACCAGCCCCAGATCCTTATTCCTCCTCCACCAAACCTGACAGTTGGCACTATGCATTGGGGCAGGTAGGGTTCTCCTGGCATTCACCAAACCCAGATTATTCAGTTGGACTGCCAGATGGTGAAGCGTGATTCATCATTCCAGAGAACGCGTTTCCACTGCTCCAGAGTCCAATGGCGGCGAGCTTTACACATTTTACATTACATTTTTTACATTTTAGTCATTTAGCAGACGCTCTTATCCAGAGCGACTTACAGGAGCAATTAGGGTTAAGTGCCTTGCTCAAGGGCACATTTACGTCATTTAGCAGACGCTCTTATCCAGAGCGACTTACAAATTGGTGCATTCACCCTATAGTCAGTGTGATAACCACTTTCCATTTATTTATTTTTATTTATTTATTATTATTTTTTTTTGGGGGGGGGGGGGGGGGGGGGTAGAAGGATTACTTTATCCTATCCCAGGTATTCCTTAAAGAGGTGGGGTTTCAAATGTCTCCGGAAGGTGGTGAGTGACTCCGCTGTCCTGGCGTCATGAGGGAGCTTGTTCCACCATTGGGGTGCCAGAGCAGCGAACAGTTTTGACTGGGCTGAGCGGGAACTATGCTTCCGCAGAGGAAGGGGAGCCAGCAGGCCAGAGGTGGATGAACGCAATGCCCTCGTTTGGGTGTAGGGACTGATCAGAGCCTGAAGGTACGGAGGTGCCGTTCCCCTCACTGCTCCATAGGCAAGCACCATGGTCTTGTAACGGATGCGAGCTTCAACTGGAAGCCAGTGGAGTGTGCGGAGGAGGGGGGTGACGTGAGAGAACTTGGGAAGGTTGAACACCAGACGGGCTGCGGCATTCTGGATGAGTTGTAGGGGTTTAATGGCACAGGCAGGGAGCCCAGCCAACAGTGAGTTGCAGTAATCAAGACGGGAGATGACAAGTGCCTGGATTAGGACCTGTGCCGCTTCCTGTGTAAGGCAGGGTCGTACTCTCCGAATGTTGTAGAGCATGAACCTACAGGATCGGGTCACCGCCTTGATGTTAGCGGAGAACGACAGGGTGTTGTCCAGGGTCACGCCAAGGCTCTTCGCACTCTGGGAGGAGGACACAACGGAGTTGTCAACCGTGATGGCGAGATCATGGAACGGGCAGTCCTTCCCCGGGAGGAAGAGCAGCTCCGTCTTGCCAGGGTTCAGCTTGAGGTGGTGATCCGTCATCCATACTGATATGTCTGCCAGACATGCAGAGATGCGATTCGCCACCTGGTTATCAGAAGGGGGAAAGGAGAAGATTAGTTGTGTATCGTCAGCGTAGCAATGATAGGAGAGGCCATGTGAGGATATGACAGAGCCAAGTGACTTGGTGTATAGGGAGAAAAGGAGAGGGCCTAGAACTGAGCCCTGGGGGACACCAGTGGTGAGAGCACGTGGTGCGGAGACAGCTTCTCGCCACGTCACTTGGTAGGAGTACACCACTCCAGCCGACGCTTGGCATTGCGCATGGTGATCTTAGGCTTGTGTGCTGCTGCTCGACCATGGAAACCCATTTCATGAAGCTCCTGACGAACAGTTCTTGTGCTGACGTTGCTTCCAGAGGCAGTTTGGAACTTGGTAGGGAGTGTTGATGCCGAGGACAGACGATTTGTACGCGCTACATGCTTCATCACTTGGCAGTCCCGTTCTGTGAGCTTGTGTGGCCTACCACTTTGCGGCTCAACCGCTGTTGCTCCTAGATGTTTCAACTTCACAATAACAGCACTTACAGTTGACCGGGGCAGCTCTAGCAGGGCATAAATTTGACAAACTGACTAGTTGGAAAGGTGGCATCCTATGGCGGCGCCATGTTGAAAGTCACTGAGCTCTTCAGTAAGGCCATTCTACTGCCAATGTATGGAGATTGAATGGCAGAATTCATGGTTCCTTCTATTAAGGAAAGTCGTCCAGGTCCTGAGGCAGCAAAGCATCCCCAAACCATCACACCACCACCATGCTTGACCTTTGATATGATGTTCTTACTGTGGAATGCAGAGTTTGGTTTTCGCCAGGCATTACTGGAACCATGTCGTCCAAAAAGTTATACTTTTGAACCATCTATCCATAGAACGTTCTTCCAAGAGTCTTGATGATCATCCAGGTGCTTTTTGGCAAACTTGAGTCAACTTTTTGGACAACACGGGTCCCATTATACCTGGTGAAAACCAAACACTGCATTCCACAGTAAGAGTAAGAACATCATACCAAAGGTCAAGCATGGTGGTGGTGGTGTGATGGTTTGGGGATGCTTTGCTGCCTCAGGACCTGGACGACTTGCCTTAATAGAAGGAACCATGAATTCTTCTCTGTATCAGATAATTCTACAGGAGAATGTCAGACCATCTGTCTGTGAGCTGAAGCTGAAGTGCAGCTGGGTCATGCAGCAAGACAATGATCCAAAACCCACAATCAAGTCTACATGAAAATTGCTAAAAAGCAACAAATTGGAAGTTTTGGAATGGCCTAGTCAAAGTCCAGACCTAATCTCAATTGAGATGTTGTGGCAGGACTTGAAACGAGCAGTTCATGCTTGAAAACCCACACGTCACCGAGTTAAAGCAGTTCTGCATGGAAGAGAAAACTGTTTTCTGCCCCTCCCAAAAGATAACATTTGTGGATAATTGGCCCTCTTTCTGGGACTCACCCACAAACAGGATCAAGCCTGACCTGCTGAGGAGTGACGGACTCCATCCTAGCTGGAGGGGTGCTCTCCTCTTATCTACCAACATAGATAGGGCTCTAACTCCTTTAGCCCCACAGTGAAATAGGGTGCAGGCCAGGCAGCAGGCTGTTAGCCAACCTGCCAGCTTAGTGGAGTCTGCCAATAGCATAGTCAGTGTAGTCAGCTCAGCCATACCCATTGAGACTGTGTCTGTGCCTCGACC